TTGTGGTTGTTCCCTGTAGTGAAGTAGATTTTGAAAACTGTACCACGAAAATAGAAGTAGGATCAGAGAAAGTTTAATGAAATGCACAGTCAATGTCAGGCTTATACCTGCAGCCTACATCTGGTGAGTCAAAGTAAAATCAATTTAATGGTATTGGATTTCGATGCTCACATCTGTTGTTAGCACCCAAAATCATTTGAAGGTCAATCATTTGAAAGAAAATATCTGCTGCTCTGATTTCCCTTTAGCTTGTTGTCTGTCTCTCTGTGTAGCCCTGCCTTCTCCCTTAGTCAGGTGGGATAGACTCCAGCCCTCCACGACCCTACAGCGGAGGGGTATAGAAAATGGATGGATGATGGTTAGCCTTTAATGATAGTGTGCTTATTCTTTATCCTGAGTGTGAGTGGAATCTGTAGAAGGTCCATTTTGGTCAATGTTACAGTTGTGGTGGCGAGGTAAATCCAATGTTCCTCTCTTTCTAGCTGTGTTTTGATCTGTGAATTTATCCTGCTAGATGGTGGTGGAAAGCAAATAGAGACATACAGTGGTGACTCGATAATCAGACACTAAATGTAAAACATTCTTTTATGTTGGATAGCAAGGCTGTTGGCTTGTCAAGACGGAGGTCGAGATACAAGGGGGGCTTGATGCTTGGAGGGTAATTTGTTGTTAATTGTTGTTCATAGTTATAATAACCAGTAGGGCTGGTCCCAATAGCACTTTCTGATCTCTGGATATTCAGGCCCAATTAATGATGATTATCCGAATATTCGGAGCGGTCGGGGGGGACACTTCCACCCCAGGGGTGCCCTCCGATGGGGTGGAAGTGGTTGGCTCGCACAGGCAGTACTTGGCTGCTGATGCTAGTTTAGGATAGTGGTCACACTTCTGTTTCCACCATTGGTGGCGGCGGTGGAGGAGTGGCGCTGCTGCTTCCGTAAACACTGAGCACGCTCGCTGCATGTGACGTCATTGTGTCCTCTTCTGTGCATGCGGGACACTTTTGGGCCGTATGACGTTCACACAGGAGATCACATAGAAGTTGCATTTCATTGGAAATGTGAATGAACTCGCAAAAAAATCGGATTTCACAAAAAAATCCGAAATAAGTCCTGCCGTCTCAATGTAGCCAATCTGTTGGATTGTTAAGTCAGATAATACGCCGTTATCCTTATTTGTGACATAAAATGTCATGTCGGAATCCAAGGTCGTTGGTATGTTAAGGCTATTTTTAATGGGTACCGTCCGTTTTTCCTAAAAACCTGTCGGATAGCAAGGTTTTCGGATTGTTGAGGGTCGGATTATCGAGTCATGACTGTATTTAGCTAGTCCGCATAAGGATAGCATCAAACTCTTTGCAAAATTATTTCTACAAATGTCTAACACTACGCTTAAATGAAATCATATTGATTATTGCACATCAAAGTGTTTCTTCATGAGTTATTTATGCATGCTTTTAGCTAGTTGTTTAGCTACAAATTTTAATTTCATCAATGTCAAAAAAAATAATTTGCCAACACTACACTTCAACAACACAGGACAACTGATGAGGACTGACGCTGCAGGGTCAACAAACATAGTGATTTGAAAGGACATGAACACAGTCCAGTGGAGAGGGAACAGCAGACTGCATGTCTGCTTTCAGATATCTTCTTGAAACTCTCTGGCGTACGGCCAGTAGCTCATCTACTCTGAGCGTTACTGGCATCGTCAGCCCATGTGGCCCGAGTGACACGGGGTGAACATTCCTCCAGAAGTCTTGGGGTCCAGAGCGGAGGGCGCGGCCGCTTATTGCTCAACACTATATTTACAGGAACGATGAGTGGCATTTACTTTCAAAGCTGCCTCCTCTTGACTCAAGGCTCTTTCTTACTCATACCCACAGTGGATCACAGGCCGCATACTTGTTATCCATCTTCAGTCCAGCCTCCCTCAAACCCACTGTCCACTACCCCCACTGCAATCCCCCCATTCTTCAGCCCCCTCCCCAGCCTGCATACTGACAGCTGAAGCGACCACAGAGGCGGGTGGTCACTGCCGGCCTTCCACGTCCACAGACTATTTCAGGAACCAAAAGGTTTCTGGTAACAAATAAGATAGTTACTAACTGAGCTACTCTCGCCTTGTGTCGAGTCACTGAATATGGGTGGACAATGCAATCCGCTGTCTCTGCCAGTACATGAACATATAAGGAGCAGATATTTCTTGGCTCAAAGCTGTGTTGATTATTGTTTTGACTTGCGATCCCTTTGGATTTTCTCAACTTTCACGGCTTTAATTTTGTGGACATTAATAGTGTGATGCATTCATGTCATGGTGGGAGAATCTGAACATCTAAACAGGATCAGCTGCTTAGTTTGTCACACTCCTTCAAGCGTAACAATCAGGCCTGGCAGCTCACACAAATACACAAACAAAATGTGGCATGTGATTAGCGTTGGCAACAGGTTTACAGCTCTGTGGCTATGTTGGGCTGGTGATATGGTTTATTTTACAATAATATGCACTGAATCATATAAGTGGATGTAGTTTCAAAACAATGGAGCCCACCACGGAGCCCATGTTAAAGAAGTTGTTAGAAATGTGGGGCCATATTTTTTCTTTTTTCTAAACGTGAGAAAAATTACCACTACAGTGTTCATTGACTTTTTTAGTAAAAGCTAGGGAAGGAGATGGTTAGCCTAGCTTAGCTTTGTGGTTAGCTTGAGACCTGAGTTAGAGGCAGACTGCTAGCTTGGCTCTGGTAGGGGCAAAAAACAAACAACGAAAAAAAAAACTATACAATAAAAACAAAAAAACTAACTGTTAACCAACACCAACAATTACCACATTATATCTCAGTTGTATATTTTGGACCAAGCGTAAGAATGACAGACAAGTTACAGTTGCTAAAGCTCAATGGTTAGCTTAGCTTAGCAGAATCACTGCTAAGCTAAACTACTGAAGTGTAAAACTTGGATTGTGGAATAAAGAACAAGATACAATGTGTTAACTCATGAGCGTTAGAGATGCTAGTAGCCATGTGTTTTGTTTGTTGTTATTTTGCACTTTTTGACAGAGGTCACCAGCTGTTTCCAGTCTATACTAAGCTACGCTAATGTCTCCTTTACTCAGTCAAAAAAAAACCTAGTAAGTGTATTTCTTAAAAGGTTCAACTGTTCTTCGAAGAGGGCCACTGCATACGTCTCTATTATACCAAGGCACCTCTAAGCTTCTTGTAGTTTCTGCTGGAGTTGTGTTTAGGCTAAATGGTGCTCAAACAAAACACATTTATGACAAACTAGCTGGCATGTGGTGACCCATGTTTGAGTTCCTAGACTAGCGTCTTGATTTTTGTTTTAGCATGTTAGCCTTGAATAAAGCATCCAAAAACATAAGCTGCAGACCTGTGGAGTGAGACAAAGAGAGGATTTCCTCTCAGTGAAATGAATTCCCTATATTTGGCACACCGCTCTATTGGCACAGTTGGCACAGATATGCAGAAGCCGACCTACACGTGGATATTCTTGCACTTTAAAAACCCATGCTTCATGTTATCGCTCAGAAAAAGTAAAGGGCAAAGCGAGGGAGGAAGTAATGTGATAGAAAAGTTAATTTTAGCATCAGTTCCACCAGAGAGCGGTCAAAGTGATGGTTTGCGATACAAGTATGACTTCTGTTGTGATATGAGAATTTCCTTTATGATACATGACACGAAAGTGATTTTATTTGCAAAGAAAACTAACACATTTTAGCAATAATGTTTGTATTAGGTATTGTTACCGTATTTATTCCTACTAATGTCCTGTATTTTCCAGGTAAAGCGAAACATTTTCCGAAAGATTCCGAAATTATCTTTCTGGCCAAGAGCTAAACCAGAAGGTCTATACCACTGTTACATCTGCAAATGTGGGGCTACAACAAAGATTCGTGTTGAAAAAATTCTAAAGCTTAGTAGGACAATTTGTTGTCATTAATTTACTGTGTTAAAATAGACACAATAATAATGACAATAACAAAAACATGTATGTAAAATTAATATACATTGGGAATCAAAATAAGTGTGCTACACGAGGCAATTATGTGTAATTTCGTTCCTTATATGGTCATGCCAGCCTCAAGTCATTAAAAGAAATAGTATATTGTCATTTGAACTAATTAATTTATGGTGTTTAAAACCTACTTTACTTTGGTCTGTAACTTTCACAGTATTTTATGGGCAGACTGCTTTAAATCTTTCACAATACAATTTGTTAAATCTCGTTGATTATAACTTTCGTATCATTGTGTCTTTTACTTAATCTCTTAATAAACATGGTTTCTCTTTAAATGGCACTGCTGCTTTTCCTCATATAGAGTAAACAACAGTCTGAGGTGTAAATCTTGCAGTTAAAATCTACGCTCGTCACGGAGTCAGTGTGGTTATTTAAAAAGCCCCAATAATTCACATCCCAGACAAAAGTGCAGCAAGGGGTACATCAGACACAATAGTTCCTAGACTTGCCAGACTCCTAATTATTGTCAGACTGGAATGATGATTATATATTCTGCGCTATTTTGGTGGATTAAAGCAAGCGTCCCATTGTTTGGTGTAACGAGAGACAACTGAATAGCCACAAGCTACAACCATGTGGCATATCAAACAAGTAGACGGTGCCATAGAGAAAAGAAAAACAAGGATATAAAACTGCAGCATCTCTGATCTGAGCGTAAAAGCCGGTGTCAGCTGGTTTGGTGTAAACTGAGAGTCAGAAAACAAGTATTTGCTAGTGTGTTAGATGTGTTATTCTTTTTACAGTTATCACAGTTCTCTGTTCAGAAACAAGTCACGCTCTGACAGGTTTTTACCACGAAGCCCCTCCTGAGAGACGCACTACATTAGCTCCGGCCCTCCTGCTATCAGGTTACAGTTGTCCCGTGCCAGTGGCAGAGGGACAGCTGCCTAAATGGGACAATGTCACACAAGGACACGTGTGAAGCTAATCTGCAATATGATCTATAATATCGGAGCTCATGCTTACGTCTCGCATCGCTTCCATAGGAGCGACAGAGGCTGGAGACCATCCTGAATCTGTGTGCAGAGTATAATCCTGAGGACGGTGCTGCGGAGCTGGTGAGGAGTGGGTTGCTGGGAGCTGCTAGAGGAACCTGCTCGGACACAGGAGGGGGCATGTCTCTACAGGGGGTAGATAGAGTTCAGAAGCTGAGAGAGAACGATGAGGAAATCCAGAGAGAGGAGTCGAGCAGCACGGAGAGCACGCACCAAGAGGTAAAGTTCTTGTTTTTGTGCAAGAATGGAGAGGATGTTGGTTTTACATTTATATATATACATCTGCTCTCAGTGTGAAGAGCTGCTAGCTGGGCAGGAGCAGGCCTACCTGGAGGAGGAGAGGAACAGGATCTTGGCCCGGGTCGATGACTTGAAGCACAGAGTCAGTGAACTGGAGCAGCAGCTACAAGAGACCAAACAGGAGGTCAGCGCACACGCATATCAGCAGCTCATGAATGTTGTTGTGACATTTTCGCTTGAACCCTCATACTGAGAGGAGAGCTATTCACCCTGTGGTTTGCAGACTCTGACTGCATGTTTGTCTGTAGGTGGAGATGGAGCAGGCCCTGCTGCAGGCGGAGAGGAGGGCTGAGCAGGAGCAGGTGGAGGCTGAAAGTGAAATTATCTCTCAGCTGCAGCTCAGACTCAGCCAGCTGGATAAGGCCACCCAGAAAGAGAAAGACAAGGTGGGCACCCAGGACAAAGCAATGCCATGTAATAAATACTGTCAGTTTGCCAGTAGCCTTTGGTCTATTGCACGTAAATGACTTGTTCCTAAACATCTGTGTTTGAATACACAAATCTCACTCCTTCCCGAATGTGCAAACAGGCTGGACACACTCTAGATCATTTTCTCAGATCTCAGCTGACTTGCATTGCTTATTTATCCACCAACTGTTCTAAAGCACCAAAGCACAACTTGTTTTCTCTTCAAAGTGTGCAACAGTTCAAAAAAACAGCTGAAATCTTTTTATGACCAACGCTATTAAAATGCTTCTTTAGACATGTCTCAGCATTTTTAGCTGTCCCCCATTATAACATTACCAAATGTGTGAAGCGTTGTAATCCCTAACACCTCTACCAGCCTAACCTCTGCTTCCTCTAATGCTTCTTTAACTGCCTTACAGCTTTGACTGCATGGATTTGAGTTGTCCGTGAATTTTTTTCTTTTTTTTATTTTGTTTCTCCCTGGCGTGGTGTGTGTGCGTGTGTGTCTGAATGCAACTGTGTGTACGTATGTGTGTGTTTCTGTGTGTTTTTAGGGGAGGGCTAATGTGTCGGCTGAGCGGAAGGTCCTGGAAAAGCAGAGGAATGAGTACAATGAGCTGAAGAGGCAGTTTGATAAGTGCCCCTTGTCTCTAAGGGAACAGTTACAGGAGCAGCTCAGCAGGGTCAGTGTTCTCACGCAGCCCACTGGCTGGCAACAGTGAGTTGTAATATACTGAATATACCGCAGTGCTGTATGATCTGCACCGGACCAGCCGCAGACTTTACACTGACTCTGTTTCTAAGCACTCAGGACGACTCATAAATCTGCAGCCTGTGCATTTCCTCATTTTCTGCTTCATTACATAAACACATGAGGTTTAATATGTCAGCCTCATTTGTTAGTGTAACTATAGAGCAGGAAACGCATTTGCTACTGCAGCAGCAGCTTCAGTGCTGCTTAATCACTGCTGTTCCCTCATTCTGGATGCTTGACATTGTCAGTTGCAATTAGTAATCATTAATAACGTTAACAGCTTTGCTCTAAAAATTTGCATGCTTTTTACCATGAATGATTCACCCACACACACTTAATGTTTTTAGACAGGACATTGCCAGATGTTAAAATGTTAAGTATGTCATCATTGACTATTTCTTATTGCCAATAAATCATATGAAAAGACCACAAAAAGCATCATTATGTCCACACATTATCACACCTCTCTAATCTGTCTGTGGCGCTCAGTAAGAACCATCACGCATAACACTGGTCTACACCCATTTTGGTGTCAAAGTTTTTTGAGCTGATTTTGGACAATTGCGATGTGCTGAATCCAAATATTACATTAGTTTTGCTCAATGAGGTCAAAATTGTGATTTGATGAAACATGCAATTTGCTTGTATTAACCTTTACTAATGTTTACGCTCATCAACTTTTGGATCATGTAGCTTATGAAAAGGATTAGAAAATGAAAATTTTCCTCGAAAATCTGATTTCATATGAGAAATACTAAAATAAATCGATCGCTAATGTCAAAAATGTAATCGATTTAGTGGCAAAATCGATTTTTTTAAATTGAGTTGGCATTAAAACCTGACCTGATACAGAAAAGCAGATGTCATTTTTGGATTCAGCGTTGCAAAAATGTCCTAAAACAGTTAAAAAATCCTAGACACCTTCAAAAAAGTATTATTTTTGTAACCCAGTGTAATTAAGTAAATGCCTAAATATAGATGACAAAGATTTTGAAAAAGGTGAAGGAATTTTGTAGACATCTAGACTGTTGTTTTTACTAAATGCTACTCAAACTGAAATAAACACAGAATTTTTGCATTGATGTGGGTTGAATTAATGACAACCAGATGGTGCATATTGCCTCATAATGTAAAAATAGTTTGTGTTCTTTATGATGAAAAAAAACACCACCCAGGGGAATAACATAAATTAAGTAACATAGACAATAACATTGTTTTTGGTTTTTCCATTAGATTTTGTTATCAATAAGAACAACATAGAATATAGTCAGCTGTATCCTTTAATATCTGTATTTCATTGTTTCTAACAGTGTGAATAAGCTGCATGTAAATGTGTATGTGGACAGAAAGCTGAGGCTCTGGAGTCTGGGACCAAGCAGTTCGAGGAGCTGGAGTTCTGTCAGCTGGAGGAGGAGAGCAGTCTAGAGGAGAGGAAGGACGCTCAGAGCTCGCAGCTTCTCCAAGAGCGAGCTGAGTATCACTGCAGCGTGGCCAAGAGGAAGGTGAGGATACACGAACAGCACAAAAAAAACATATGTGTGCAATCTGGTCAGCAGCATCAGATTAAATGTTGTTGTGACATCAAGAAAGTGGACATGTTGACTCGCAGGAGAAGATGGCCACGCTGGAAGCTCAGGTGATGCAGCTGGGGTTACAGGCGTCTCAAGACTGTGAGAGGATGGTGAGGGACAGGACAGTGACTATGCAGCTGCTACACAAGGTTAGTCTCTCACTGCTCTTACAGTGCACTGCATTTACATTGATGCAAGAAATGTTGGAAGTTTCAACTAGTTGAGGAGCACCGTTATGTACATGTTGCCTTTTAGGAGCAAGACAGGTTGTGCGTCCTGGAGAAGAAGTACCAAATCCTGACCGGAGGGAAAAACTTTCCAAAGACCAACAGCAGCATGAAAGAGGTGAGCAGGTACATGTGAGATATCACGACTTCCTGCGGTGTCTGAGCTGGAGGAAAATTACTGCAAAGATGGATTTTGTTTTACTTAGGTGAACTTTTTAAACAGGAATTGCTTCACATCAGCGAACCTGACCTTGTTAATGTGGACGGTCCTCCTCATAGCCCCCGTCCCTCCTCTGACTCCTTCTCCTCCTCTCACATCCCCTCCCCTGAACTCTATCCTGTCAGGCTACAAGAGGTAAATCCCAACAAAATCCTCTTTGTAACAACAAATCCTGTGCTTCTACAATGAAAAAAAAAAGGGCATGATGGTGTGTTAGCATATAGTGACAAACAGCTTCGACCTTTCTGTTGTTGTTTGAGGCAAGATGACGTTTGATGACTAAACTGTAAAGTCACTCTATCGATATTGATTTCAAAGTAGAGGCCAAGTGAGGTGTGATATCTTCATGTTTGAGTGCTGCTGTGATCAGCCTTCATATCCCTGTGTTGTGGCTGTCGACGCAGGAGTACCTCAGGCTGTCTGATGTCTATAGGATGTATGGGAATGCTTCTCTGCAGCCTCACTCTTCCTCCCCTGCTGCTCTCCACTGCCTCTCCCTCACTGTATCTCCAGGTCTGCCATGTGAGGTAGACATCCTTTCTGCTTTTTTTTCCAAACTCTGTTTCTTTGACTTGTCAGACTGCTGAACCCATCCAAAGCACGTTAACAATATCTTCAAAAGTCTTATCGATCCCACTTTCTTTCTCTCTCTGTTTTGTGAATGTGTATCTGTATCGTCTGTGTGAAGGACTACATCACAGTCAGCCAGTTAAGCCAGATCTTTGGGATGCAAAGAGCCGATTCCTCCTCTTCCTCCTCTCTTCCGTCATTCCAACTCGCCTCCTCCGAATCTGCCTTCTCGTACCACTCGACTGCATGCGGTCCTTCCTCCTTTCTCTCTGCGCAGGTTTGTGCTTTCCAGCTGAGCATTGTGTTTTTGGTAAATGACAACTGGCACCATTCAGTCTTCCCACGAGTACAGACACCCCCTGAATGTCTCTGATGTTCTTTGCCCGGCATGATATGATCACAATGACTGGTCCGTGTTTGTCTTTCCCACCTGCCTGATGCTTTTGTTACTGATGCTGTTACCCCTCACTGCTCCCTTTTCTCTTTGGCTGGATGCTTTTCATCACCTCAGAGCCAGACTGAGCTGAGCAGGAATGCATTGCCTCCTATTAATCTCGAGCGCTGGTACCAGGACATCATGGCTGCTGGAGAGCCTCAGTCATGTCCTCCACCGCTGCCTGCAAAGTCTTTTTCTGCACGCAGACACGGGCAGGTAAATTCACTCATGCTCTCCTGGTAGCTAGTTTCTAGTGTCTGGCTAAAGGGCACCAACAGTGATAGAGAGGCACTTCAAACACATTCTCCCCCACAGGTGATCTTCTCATTAGCTATTATCTGTATTTTTTGGATGAGGAAGCCCTCTAGTGGGCAAAAAATGTTGGAGTAGTTTTTGAATCTCCATGCAGCCGAAAAACATTTGAGGCTAAATTGTGACAGAACAAAAGACAGCAGAAATGCTTTTGATTACAGTCTGCAACATACAGTGTAATTAATCCAA